CTCTTAGGCCACAACATTACTCGGTCGGGATCAATTCTTACATTGTTGGGTTCGAAAACATCCCACTACCGGTGCCTATAGTGGATGATGGGATTACTCTTCTTTGGGAAGCAAAAGGTAGCTATGTGCAATGGCCACGTGCTTGGGTAAGGTTGATCAACAAGGTAATATCATTTTTGATGTTGTGCTAAATAACAAATCAGCATGCACTATCTTTTTCTCTTAACAAATCTGCCTTGGCTGCTGCGTACTTACTAGCTTAACCCCCGGCCAAAAATTTTTGAACTCTAATTATCTTTGTTTGATCAGATTTTGAAAAAAAGCCAAACATCAAAGAGAAGGAAGGTTGAGTAGCCTAAAAGCGTTGATCAACCTACAAAGAATATGAGTGAACAAGGGTCGAAGAGTGAACAAGTGTCGAAAAAGAATTCTTCGAAAGGTTCAGCCATGCAACCTACTCCACTTGTTGGAGACAATGTCCTTCAATCGCTCACTAAGGATTTAACTTTTCTACACAATCGTTTTAGTCATTTTCCTAGTGACGATCCCATTGAAATTGCACTTCCTAAGGCAATGTTCCACTATGATGAGGATGCAAGTGCATGGTTAAAGAAACAAGATGTGAAGGAATTTTTAAGAGGTTCAATGCTTAACATTTCTCTCATTCAAATATTCATGAGGTACGGGCACATGCCACTTAAATTAATTATGTTATTCATATTAGTGTTGTTTATCCTTCATATGTCAATTAATTTTTCATTGTCCATGCAAGTAGAGCACTACGGGAGCACTTAAGTGACACTAATTCCCCTGGTAAAGTTGGGTGGTTATGCCCCGAATAGACATCCGAGACTAGAATCTTACACAAATCCCCCGAGGTGATGTATTATGTTAATCATAGTATTAGGGAATCAATGCATGCAGGAGACAAGTTCATATTCGCCCTATGTTATGAGGAGTACGTTTAACCATGTGTAATTCAAGTCTTTCTACATTTGAATTATATGTTGTACCCTAATTATTGATTTGTTTTTGTATTGTGAATTTATGTAGGTTTGATTGGTTCCTCATGGTGATTTGTCCTGCTAATAACACAATCTTTCAGCTTGATCAACAAAGAAGTACCTCGTGATGTCTGTACTACAAAAGTAAATATAGCTACCTAGTGTTGATTATCTTAACCTAACTTATTTAAAAGTCAAACTAATCAAATTTGAATTTACTTTCCTATAGTATTATGAAGAAGATACATGGACGTGCTCCACGGGGTCCTACATGGAAATCACCTATGGTAATGCCACATCATATTGTGATTATCTTAATAAACATTGCTAAAACAATTGTGGATTTTATGTGATGTTCGATTCATTTGATTTGTTCATATGCTAGTGCCCACAGCAAGATAATGGAGTTGATTGTGGATTATACGTGATGAGATTCATGCTTGACATAGCGACTCATTGTACCAACACCATACATCTTGATGAGGTACGACCTAAAACGTAGTAAAATGCTCTTTTTCTGTGATTTCAAGGCTTAGCCACCAAAAACTAAGTATAATTGACATTATATGAGAAATAAATAGCTCATTAGTTTAAAAATGTAGAAAATAGGCAAAGTAAAAGTCATTTAGGCCTTATTTAGGCTATTTAGGAAGAAAATGTGTCTTTAAACTTAGTAAAATGCTCTTTTTCTGTGATTTCAAGAATTAGCCACATATAACTAAGTATAATTAACATGTTATGAGAAATTATGTTGTCATTAGTTTAAAAATGTAGAAAATGCGCAAAGTAGAAGTCTTTTAGGCCTTCTTTTAGACCGTTTAGACCTAAGTATTTAAATTCTTTACATATTTATTTACACATGTTTAACTTAACTAATTTAATTAATTCTAACATAATTTATATATATTCCAAGTTTTTCAAGGTTCAAATGGGAGATCCGTTAACAAGCAATGACCTTAATAAAGTTCAAGACATGTTGGCATCTTTCATCACCTTCAATTTGTAAATGTCACATCATTTTGAATTTATACTTTGTTAATTAACTTTTAGACTACAATATTGACTAGTTAGTATTGTTTGTATTTATGTATATCACACTTTATTTATTGTATTACATTTGGTTTTTAATTATTAATGTCTAAATATATATTTATAATTCTTGTTATGATTATTAATAATAAGTATATTATGGAAGAATTTATAGCAATAATATGGAAGAATATTATATCAGGATCGTTGCAGGAATAATTGCAGGAAAAACGAAAAAAAAAAGAAAAAAAAAATATATCCCTATTATTGCCACCGGTTAACCGGTGGCAAAAGTCAGTTTTCCACCAAAAAAAAACGCGCATTTAAATTGCCGCCGGTTAACCGGTGGCCATAATTATTATTACTACCGGTTTTGAATCGGTGGCCTTGCTTGGGTTTATTAAACAAACAGTTTTCTTGCTTTTTAAAACGCCTACTAAATCTGCTGCCTAGCTGAGGAAGGAGCAGTTGCTTGAGAAGAAAGCCTCCTTTGAGGCCAAGGAGTCTAAGGAGTCTAAGCCGCTTTAACTTAATTATTTGCCGGCAGTGACCCTTTTTCTTCATTTGTAGATTGGGAATAGATCCATTCCACACTTCATTACAAAGTTATTCAAACTGCCGGGTGATGACCTGACAAAGACTCTGGCTAAGATAGTGAAGAAGAATCCTTCTTAATCAATCCCTTCATCCAACCTAAATCATCTTATAACCGGAGGTAAAAACCCGGCTATGCTAAAGGCTCTAAGCGAGAGCTCGGAGCGCGTTGCGGGGAAACTGTCGGATGCCTTTACGGCATCAAAGAATGGCGAGCCACTCAATGTTGCATTCGGTGTTGCAACAGCTCAAGGGGGAGAGTCATCTCAGCCCAAGACCCAAGGTAAGACTCGTATTGAACTCCCTTGGCCGCTTGATTTCATGCAAATCAAGACTCTGAAAGGACTGGTGTGCTTCGAACGAGTGTATTATTCTGATAGCGGGTTCAGAATTATTAGAAAGCTAATATATTCAGTAAGGTCAAGTGATCGGAATGCTGGGTGGAGGTCGCTTCCAATCAGTAATATTAATATAATTAATATTACAGCTTAATCTTGACTGAACCCTTCGGGTCACACCCAAGCAAAATATACGAACTAACTCGACGAATTAATTCGGAACAAATTAATTCGTCGCCCGAGTGTTAAATATTTAGACGTCGGAAATTCGAGCTTAGAGCGTCGAAACCGAGCGTCGGAAGTCGAGTCAAAAAATAATAAAAAGATGAGACGACAAATTAGTAATAAATCAACAATGACTAAAATAACCCTAGCATCGGAATCCCGAGTGCTAGGGGATTAGTTAAGCTAGCAGCCCGCACCATGTGCGAGACATGCTAACAAGGCGTGGCTAGCAGCCCGCACCATGTGCGAGGCATGGTAGCACAGCACGGCCAGCAGCCCGCAAGCAATGCATGGCGTACTGGCGTGCGCTGCTGCTAGCAGCCCGCACATGTGCGTGGCTAGCTAGCAGCGCCCTCAGCATCAGCAGCCCGCACTCATGTGCGTGGGCGTGCTGGGCCGAGCTGGCAGCAGCGAGCAGCCCGCACGGTGCGAGGCTAGCTGGGCCGTGGGCCTAGGTCGCGTAGAAAGGGGAAGCTAGTAAGTATGCTTGCTTTTTGGTGTGGACATGTGTCACAAGGAGAGGAAGGAGTGGGGAGCAAGTATGGTCCCCTCCTCTCCAAGCGGTCCATACTCCTCTTTACATATGACTAGGACACTTGTTGATTTATTACTTGCTTATATATTTAATTTAATTTAGCTTTAAATTAATTTGTGGAATTTCATGAATCCCACATTGATGGGATAGAAATTCCCACTCATACTTTCCTCTCAAATACCAACCTTGGGATTTGGAGTAAAGTGTTTGAGTGGGAGTTAGAAAGAGCATTCCATATTTTGGAAAAACTCTTAAACTCCATTAACACTGGGTTTTGGTCGGACCTTGCTAACTCCAAGGTAGCGGACCTAAAAAGTCGTGTTCGTCCTTTGTGGGTGGATACCGTTAGAGGCACGACATTTGCGGTGCTCAAGGCTTTCAATATAATATTTTATGTGTGTTTTGTATGTTATTTTTTCTTCTCTTTTTCATTTTACCTCAAATTTATTTTGCTTTGCTTCATTATTGTTTGACATTAATTCATGCGTGAGTTTGGTTTTTTTTTTTTTTTTTTTTTTTTTTTTTTTTTTTTTTTTTTTTTGTAAACTTTAGCATATTTTTTATAAAAGATTAATTGAGTGAAATCAAAACTCCTTTTATTTCTAAATAAGTGAATCTATAATCTCTTTTTACTTTTTTAGCTATTTTACTCATTATTTCTCTCTCCCCAAGCATATATGTACTCGCAGTAGCTGTGCACAAAAAAAAAAAAAAAAAAAAAAAAAAAAAAAAAAAAAAAAAAAAAAAAACCTCACACTAGCCACATTCATCTGCTAAAAAAATATTTCTTCACTTCTATTATGTTTTCAATTTGGTCCACATGTACAATAAATTTCTTCACTTCACTTACCTAAAACATAATTGAGTGATGTACTTATTTAGAAATGGAAGCTGAAGCATTTAATTAAACAGATCAATAATTTAATTAATAGCTAGAAGCTCAAGCTTATATACACAAAATCATCTGATTAAACCTTAAACCATATTTGTACAACATTAAAAATTAAAAATCAGAAAAAACAAAGAAAAAAAAAAGTAATTAACGCAAAAAAGTGAGACCACCGAAGCTAAGGAAGGATATAACAAGAAGCTGTGGCCACCCTGTCTACCCTGTGCAATGTCATTTTCTTTATCTTAAAAACACACCCTTAACGCATTTGCCCCCCCTCCCCATCTTAGGTAGGCCCTGAAAGCTATGTAGATCTTTCTACTTACTCTCATACTCTTTTTTTTTTTTTTTTTTTTTTATATATTCCATATATAAAATTATTTTTATTATAATTAAATCTTCTTCTTTCTCCTTCCATTAAAAAAAAAAAAATGTGTTGTTAACTTTGTACGGAAGTTGAAGTTTTTTTTACCTTAATCATTTTCTCACTCCTAAAACAGTACAATAACTCCTAGTATAAAAGGCCACTACTTTTTCCCTTGAGTTCATGAACTAAAAAAAATACAGAAAAGAAGATAACATTTGATAAGCTACTAGTATCCTCTTTTTTTTTTTTTTTTTTTTAAAAAAAATTTTCCTTAACATTTTGCCTTCCTTTTATGGCAATTGCTACAACCATGAATCTCACTAAGGTCGATATTAATAGCAGCAACCACAACAGCAACAACGTTTGCAACAACAATGACAAGCAGCAACAAGATGATCAACAACAACAAGAAGGTGATGACGAACACGAGCATGACATGGTCATGCCAGGCTTCCGATTTCACCCTACTGAGGAAGAACTTGTTGAGTTCTACCTTCGCCATAAGGTTGAGGGCAAGAAATTTAATGTTGAACTCATTACTTTCCTCGATCTTTATCGCTATGACCCTTGGGAACTCCCTGGTATATACTCTTATTTATACCATTTATTTATGTTTGTTTTATATCAATATCATATCATATACACATATCATAAATATATTTGATTCTTATCTATATAATCAATTGGTTAATTGTTAAAACAGCCTTGGCCGCGATTGGGGAGAAGGAGTGGTTCTTCTATGTTCCAAGGGATCGAAAATACCGTAATGGCGATAGGCCTAATCGAGTAACTACATCCGGTTACTGGAAGGCAACCGGAGCTGATCGAATGATACGAGGAGAGAACTCCAGGCCCATCGGCCTTAAAAAAACACTAGTGTTTTACTCCGGTAAAGCGCCCAAGGGAATCCGAACTAGTTGGATTATGAACGAATACCGCCATCCTCAGCACGAAACGGAACGGTATCAAAAGGTTAGACCATCATATATACTTTCAAACATGTACAAACATATTTTTTGTTTTTTTCAAAAGAAGGGGAAAAATTGGAAACCCTAATTGGGTTATAGTGTAAACCAAAGGGGTTGGAAAAATTAGACACTAAATTAGGAGATAAGTGATAAAAAGAACACAGATTCCAAGTAGTGTAAAGAGTGTAATAAATGAGTACTATTTTTACTGGTGTTGGATCACGCAAATATAGTGAAAGTTATGAATGAAGCTTCAATTACTGATTTTTTTTTCTGATATTCACCATTAATATGAACTGATCAGTACTCATATTGTTGTTGGATACTTCTATTTTCTAGTAATTAATACAAATATAGTGAAAAACAAAAATGTACACTCATTTTATTTTGTTTTTTTGTTTTGTTTTGCCTAATTTTGGGCGGGATTTTTATCTCAGGCGGAGATTTCATTGTGCCGGGTGTATAAGAGGCCTGGAGTAGAGGATCATCCATCAGTGCCACGAGGGAGTAGCCTGCCCTCGAGGCTGTCATCATCGTCGAAAGCAACTTCGTTGTCTTCCGAGAGGAAGAACTACCATAACGCCTTTAGAGCTCAGACAACTTGTGTACAACAGCAACTTGAGCACCCGCCGCCTCAGATGGGTGACAAGGTAAGCGATACTGATGCTAGTAGTAGCACCGAAGTGGGGACCGCCCTTGGGCTTTCTCACCACAGCTCGTACACTGCGGTCAGTCCATTGGCAGCCCCACAGCAAGCGCTAACTCCACCACCACCACAACCACCAACATCATCCTCCATCGAGGTTAATAGGATGATGCAGTTATTAAATGATCATAATCAAAATTTGAAGCATCATAATCACCAAGTGGTAGTGGGTGGAGGCGGTGGCGGTCATGGTGTAATTACATCATTGCCCTCCTCGCTTAACAACTCTATAACTCATCAACATCCTACTCCTGGACTTGTTCCTCCGAATCATCATCATCAGCCGAGTATGGAGGATATTCATAGATTAGTCGAATATCAACAAGCTTGCATCAACCACCATTTCCAACAACAACAGCAGCCGCCGCCACAACCACAACAACAACATCAGTTCCAATTCGAAGCTCTTAACAACGATAACAACCCGAGCAGCAGTAATAGTACTACTAATAATTTGCCATTTTTGTTCTCCAATTATTTCTTTTCACCAGCAGCAGCACAACAGGCACAAGCAACACTTATTAACAACAATCCTCCAACGGCTGCAGTAGGTGGTGGCTCGAGTAGTAGTAGTTTGCAATTGCCTCCAGTCACGGTTGCTGGTGCTGGTGCTGGGCTCGCGTTTTCGGACCGTTCATTGTGGGATTGGAATCCATACTCAGAGCCGAATAGAGATCACTTCAGTAACCTCTTCAAGTAACTTTTTACTTTAACCGCAGTAGGTGCTTGCATACTACATAAATGTTGAAGAGAGACATAATTTAATCAAGTACGCTTTTATAAGTTATATTAATTAATTGCTTAAGTTATGTGTTCTATGATCATGTTTTAATTATGTTTTTTCTAGCCGGAATTCTATATAGGAGTATATGTCAAAGCATTAATTTTAACATGCATTTTTTTATCTTAATTTAGTTACGCACTCTTAAAAGTTAATTTTATCATATATTATTGCATTTTATTTTCTAATTAATCGTGCATGATAACTACTTAACCATTCACATTTGCTTTATATAATTTAGGGTTTACAAGCTATATTATAGGTTATGCAATTATTGCTAATAAATAATTTATGTTACAAAAAATTGAAGGGGAATTGAAACTTAATCGCACATGTTATTGATAAAAGTATTGGGGGTGATATGCTACTTTCATTCTTTTTATCTTTTCAATATTTTGTTTATGTTTGACACCATCGAATTATATCAGTTAAGATTAAATTACAACGACAACTATGACAAATTAGTGATTAATTTGTTATAATCACCCAATTCAAAATTTCAAAATTTTCCTCAAGTTGGTGGGATACCCTCGAGGGGTTTCCTTTAGGCTCTGTGTTTAGTTGGTGGAAGAATGAAAGTTAGAAGGTCAGCTAACTAATTAACAAAACCCTATAAAATATTATTTTGTGTTACAGTTCTTAGCATTTATTGGTTAGTTTTAGATTGTTAACTTGGAATCACACCCACTCTCTAGGAACTTTTTTCCCTCTTTTGGAAATTGTTTCTTCTTGTTCCAGAAATATCACTGCTATTTTTAGTATCACTTCATTTCTTACCTAACTTATTGGCTTTGATGATTGAGTTTAAATTAATTACTTGAGCTTGTTTGCACATTAAATCAAAAATCATAAGGACTTACTCGATATTTCTAAATTTTAAGAGTAATTTTATTATGTAAGTCACATAAACTTATGTCAATGAGGCGCAAATATACGTGTTTAATTATGTGATTTTTATCCGTACATGAAATATAATCAAGGGATGGCATGTAAATTTTTATACGGGTGATATTAGTATGATAATATATATATATATATATATATATATATATATATATATATATATATATATATATATATATATATATATATATATATATATATATATATATATATATATATATATATATATAAATGCAAAGGATGACTTGATAAGAGAGAAGACTTGGTACACATTTACCTAATTCAATTCATGTATTGGATTAGACTAATTTTGAGAATGTTAATAGTGAATGTTGGTCCGTCAATAATTATCACATTTCATTAAATTTTTTTGATTCAAGTATAGTTTTATGTATATATAACCAAATTTTGAGAATGTTAATAGTTAATGTTGGTCCGTCCAAGAATTATCACTTTTCATTAATAGTTTTATGTATATATAACCATTGATCAATGATAACTTTCCCAAATACCCTTAATTTTGAATAAATATGAAGGAGTTTCGTTTTATCATAGTTCAATTGTTATAATTTAAGGGTAGTCTTTGACTATGTGTATTGTTTTATTTCACTAAGACCCTATGTAACAATTTAGTTACTTTACAACCCCCTTCATATTTGGGTATTTAGTATAATGTGCAGTGACATTATTGGTTCGGCTTCATAGAGTTCAAGGAAATTATTGACATGTAGTATTTTTAAACAATTCAATGGTTTACACTTTTGACTTGTTGTATAGTAATATTTGTCCATGGATGTAAAACTTGTTATCTTCAATTTTTTTATATAATTAAAACTAATTTTTGTTAAAATTAGATCGAGCCAAGCTAGACCTTACTAAATCAGACTAATATATCACCTTATTTTTGATGAAGAGAACAAGTCCTTGGATATAATTTAGGCATTTCAAATAACCTTACTTTAACTTCTTTTATTCTAGAACAACTAGCTCTGGAAAAAAAAATAGAACAACTAGCTCTTTGTGCAGGCAATGCATGCACTGAATTCTCATATGCATATAAGCAATCATAATAATAATTCATTTTGTTATGCTTGATTAATATCATGACTTGCCCTTCTTCTTCGCTTATATCATACATAATGAAAGAGTGAAGAAAACAAGAAAAAAAAATTGTTGAAAAAAGTGAAGAATTTATAGAATTTTCACATATGCAATGAGGATGTATTATACAACTAGAAAGAAAGGGGGAAAAAAAAAAAGAGAGAAAAAGAATGTGGAACAAATAAAATAAATTTCCCCAAGGAACATACCTTCACTTCTTATCCTTGAATGACAGTTTAGATTTATTGTAGTGCTAACTGCTAATACGAAGGAAAACATAATTCTTCATCTTGTTCTCCATTGGGCTAAATTTGATGTGTTTAATTATTTCATTTTATTAAGCTTTTTAATATTTCCGATGCATACCTAAAATATTAGTTTTATTAATTTTTTAAGTTAAGTGCACATTTTGTATGAATCTGGAAAGGAAAAGGATTGGAAACGAAAGAGGAGAAAAGGTAACGTTAATTTTTATCATTCTGAACCATTGATCTAATTAACAAGAAATAATATATTGTTACAATTGAATTCTAAACCCTAGCCTCCTTTTCCCTCTTCTCTCTCCAAAACCTAATCTCCATTGTCAATTTTAAAGGGGCTTTCATCAGATTTCACCGGTGGAAAGCCCCAATCTTTATTTTCTGTTAAGCTTTTTAGTTAAGGTTAGAATAATGTCTCCCTCGAAAGAAAGGGTTTATCTCCTTCGAAAGACAAGATTTTTTTCGATCTCCTTCGAAAAACAAGGTTTTCCGTACTTCTTCGAAAGACAATGTTTTATTTGTGCTTAATTTGGGGTCTGTTCATATTTACTTATTTTCACTTCAGTTCAGTTCAGTTCAATTCAGTTCAGCTCCAATCAGTTCAGTTCAGTTCAATTCAATTCTTAATTTTTTTGTATTAGATGTTTCAGCATATTACAACAACAACGACAATAATAATAATAATAATAATAATAATAATATAATAATAATAATAATAATAATAATAATAATAATAATAATAATAATAATAATAATAATAATAATAATAATAATAATAATAATAATAATAATAATAATAATAATAATAATAATTAAAGGGATTAGATCAAACCTTCTTTAGCAGAACAATTTAGTTATTCACTCGAGAAATTTGAAAGAAACCATGCTGCTTGATAGTTGAGAGGAGGGAGACGACCAGAAAAATTTAGGTTACTCAAGCGTAAAATATGTTAAGAAAATTTAGGGGAACGATTTTTTAATAATAAAAGAAAATATGTTTTTTTTTTCGGGAAACTACAGCATATGCAATTGACTACAGTAAAATATTGAAGAATACTTTATATTTATATATATATATATATATATAAATAAAAATATAAAAAAATAAAAATTTAATATTACAAAATTTAATAATTTAAAATACATAGTTATTTTTATAACACTTTTATATTTTCCACAATCCACTATATATATTATTATTAGTTTTCATAAACGTTTTCATATATTTTTATGCATTTTAATTTTTCCAATTAGTTCAGTTCATTTTAGCTCTAACGAGTTCAGTTCAGTTCAGCTTCAATCAGTTCAGTTCGGTTCAGCTCCAATCAATTCAGTTCAGTTCAGTTCATTTCAACTCAATTTAGTAAATATGAACAAGCCCTTGATCTCCGGTTGTGCGGGGCTACTATTGATTATGACTCGGATTTGGGTTACAAAATTAGCACAAGAATTTACTTTCTCACAAAATTGTGAAGTGACAATGGATCCACTTAAAAAGTTGTATGAGACAATGAATCCAGAATATGCTGAATTGTTATATTTATGTATTTGGATTCTTAGCCCTTCCCTGATTAATTCTTGTTTGATTTTGTTAAATTCGTTTTTATTATCGTTCATTGTCAATTGTAGATGTCGTATGGCTTATATTAATGAAATTTAGTGTCCTTTAGGACTTCTTTATATATATATATATATGTGTGTGTGTGTGTGTGTGTGTGTGTGTGTGTATATGTGTGTGTGTGTGTGTATATATATGTGTGTGTGTGTGTGTGTGTGTGTGTGTGTGTATGTGTGTGTGTGTGTGTATATATATATATATGTGTGTGTGTGTGTGTGTGTGTATATATATATATATATATATATATATATATATATATATATATATATATATATATATATATATATATATATATATATATATATTTTGTTACAAATTGAAGATTGAGAAAATAGATTATGTTAAGATATGACAAAATAGAACAATTTAACGGAGACGAGTAATTCACCTTTCTAAGAGCAATATTCAATTGTATAAATGTACTAGTTAAGTTTCCGTGCGATGCACGATTTTAAACAAACATATTATGACATTTGTTTATAATGGGGAGAAAGAAAGTTTTCTACTTCATTAATTTTTTGTGTACAATGTAGCATATTATTTATAAAATTAAAAAACAAAAATCACAATGAACACTTTTGAACATTAAAATATTAACATAATTTAAAAAAAAAGGAGTTGATAAGGACAAAGGATAAAACATATGAAAAGGTAAACTATATTAGATAATAACAAAAAAAAAAAGGGTAAAAGTAAAAAAACATAAAAAATAATGGCATCATCAAAGCAAATTGGCGGAAAAAAAAAAATTATTTCAAAGTGACATATGTACAATTTGAGAAAGGCATGATGTCAGCAAACTTTTATTTTATTATTATTAATAGATAGTTTCCAATCACGTTGATTAGGAACCAACAAGGCCATTGCACTCCTTATACCAAATAATAAGTAATGAAAATTGTTAATAGATTATATTTACAATATTTATAATCATTATACCAAACATGTATTAAATTGAGATTTTCTAAAATAAAAAAAAAATGTATTGAATATTGATTTTCATATGTCAAACCTAAATTGAAGTTTGTGCCAAGTAAAAACAAATAAAGGTAAGGTATTTCTAAATATATGTAGTGGAATGGTTACATACAAATTGGGCCTTTTATATTCTTTTTTTTCCTTTTTAAATTTGCTTCTTAATACACATTAGTGGATCAGATCTCACGAGAGCCAAGCCTAGACCAGCCCCTTAAAAGATCCGCCCCTGCATGCGTATGATTGTGCTTACTAACGTTGAATTGCTCAATTTCATAC